TTCTTGATTTTTCATATTTCTGGTATCTTTCCTTTGGTGTTTAGTCATTGTGGCAGGTGGTGTCACAGTCCACTCGTTTCACCCTGATGTCTGGCTTGGATCCTGAAGGGACTGCCAATTCTGGGCAGCGGGAACAAGTCTGGGCTGGGGGTCCTGTGGCACCTGCCTGTGCTGGCACAGCTGACTCGGGACATGTGGGCCCAGCAGCTCTCAGGCCTCTCTGTGTAGCAGGGACTGGCCTGGACTGGAGGTCCCATGGTGCCTGCCTCTTCAGGCATGGCTGACTCAGGGTGTGTGAGCCTGGTGGCTCTCAGGCCTCTCTGGGTGGCAGGCACTGGCCTGGACTGGGGTCCTGCGGCACGTGGCTCCTGCCTGTTCCAGTGCAGATCTCAGGCCTCCTGTTGTTGTTTTCTAATAGTTGCAAATTGGTCGATTTGTGGGAGAGAGTGACACTAGGAACCATCGACTCCACCATCTTGACCAGAAGCCTGGGCCTATACTTTTAAAGAGTTTCTGAGGCCGGCACGTCCAAAGTTCATCTGGTGGTGGTGACAGTGACCCAGGAGTCTCACATTGCAAGATGGTGGAAGCAGGGAGAGCCAAGGAGGTGGATTTAATAAGACAATAGTGGAGATAAAATGGAATTATAAAAAATACTCAAACAAAAGAAGGCAAAAAAAGAGTAAAAAGGGAACAAAGAACAGATGGGACAAATAGAAAACAAACAGCACAAGCTTAGATTTAAATAAAACCAAATTTATAATCACATGAAATATAAATGATCTTAACACTCCAATTAAAAGTCAAATATTGTTCGGTTGGATTAAAAACAATACTCATATATATTTGTATCCTGTCTACAAGAAACTCATTTAACTGTTTTATGATAAAGATAGCTTTCATCATTTTCTGAAAATGAAACAGGCTGGCTGGTTAGTTCACCTGTTTACAGCATGGTGGGGATCACACCAAGGTCAAGGGTTCGATCCCTTTACTGATCACCTGCCAAAACCAAAGAAAAAAAAAAAA